ATGCGCAGCAGCAAGAAGGTTTCGGTCATCCCTTGAGGGTGAGTCTAGCCCTGCTCGCCAGAAAGACCCCCCCCTTCACTACAACCCATGTCTAAGCAAAAGCTTGTCGAGGAGCGAGGGGAAGAAGGGAGAAGAGTATAAGCAACAATACATGATGCCACGCTGTACGCACGCATACAACGAACTTCATGAAAAAGGCGGGGGAAACATACCACGAATAGAGTGCTCTCGTTATTTTTGTTTTTGGAGGGACAAGAAATTTGGTCAACAAGATGGGCTCACCGTAGGCTTTAGCGGCGCCTTCGCCGGGCGTGGTGCAGCTTCACCCCCTCTTGGCCCGCTGGTGATCGCCGCCTGCACAGGATCCGATGCAGCGATCTCAAGGTCCGCGTTGACACGCGTTCTCTTCACACCAGCAGCAGCTGCGGAGGGATGTTGGCGCCTGCTGCTCTCTGCTCGTTCCCGAATCGTCTCAGCGTGCTGCTTTCCAACGGCAACAAGCTCATCGTTGCCAGCTACAAACTCCGCGATACTCGCACCACGACTCCTCTGCGTGCCCTTGTCCAGGAGCACAGACGTCAGCGTATACCCGGTCCTGGTTTGTCTCAATGTCTGCTTGAGTACTCTGTCCTCGCCGCCGATTTTTATCAACCGCTCCCACCTCGCAGATTTTTTGGTTTGGGGGGCATTTTTTTTCTGACGCCCGCCCGCGCAGGCTGACAAAAAGACACGCCCTTCGCGGGTGGGGATGTGTAAGATTGAACGAAGGAAATCTGGGGTTTGTGGCGCGGGACTGAATCGTACAGTGGCAAGCAAACAAGAATTAGCGGGGAGGTTTCTGAGGAGGAAAGGGTTACCAGAAGAGAGGTGTGGTGACGTAGTGTGGAGTACACTTGTTCTGTGGAGTTGCTGTAGAGGTTACCGCGGTCTATTGTAGACACAAGGCTTTAGGTGACCGAGCGGGAAACCCTAATAATTCCAGATAAATGAGCATAACAAACGTGTAGGACGGCCAAAGTAGGGATGTACTCTGTATGTATTTCGACCCAGCGGAGTGCGTTCTCGTTCTGCGTTTGGGTTGAATCGTGTTTCTTTGCCATCATTTGGGTTCCGCCGCACAAAAAATGTTCAAAAAGTCGGGTTAAGATTTAAGGAGAAATAAATACACGCACAGAAAGATTGTTTTTTTTTCCAAACGCATTTCGGAACCGGATTCCCACAATACAGTATACCCCAAAACCGGTTCCCGCTTTTCTACCGACGGAAACTGCACGCGCAAAAGCTTCGGGCACGCGATCTCGGAAGGCGCCCTATGTGACCCCGGTTGGGTCGTATAGCTGGTAGAAGTGGAAGATAGGGGCCAGAGGGGTAGACAACAGAGTCCATTGATGGGAGAAAAACAACAACATGAAAAAGTTAGTTGACGCCGGTGGGTTAGTCTACCCACTGCGATGTCGGACAGAAGTGGGCACTCTGGTGAGGCCTTGCGCGCGTCGGCGGCATTAGCGCCGAAGGTGTGCCTGAAAGTGGGAAAACCTCGATGCCCGTGCTGTGCGTGGTCCCTGGCTGTGCCGCCCAGGTGTCAGAATGGGGTTTTGAGTCGTTTGGGGGCCGCCTATGGAATGCGCGCGCGCTGGATTTTCGAGTACCCACTTTTTTTGTCCGAGAACGGCGTGGGTATACCCACTTGTGTCCTGTTGAGTAGCTTGGTGCGCCCGGCGCAGTTGTAGACGGCAAAAATGAACCGCGCGGCGAGTTTGCCGGCAACGATAAAATACAGTAAACTGCCCGCGGATGTGGTAACCCGCCGCATCTGTGATGTTCCGGAGCGTGATGGCTCTGATCTGTTGAAGCTGGTGCTATGATAGCTGTTGTGATGGCGTGATAGCCTAGAGACGTGACAGCCTGGCAGCGTGATAGCCGGTGGATATGTGTGGACACGGGCGTGATAGCCCAGAGCGTGATAGCCGGGAAAAAGAAGATGAAATTTATCCAAGTGCACGTGGTCAACACCGTTGCAGACACGTATAGTCTACCCAGGAAACAACAATATGTGGCAAAGATGGTACCAGCATTCCCCCAATATACCACAACTGCGGAACCCCAAAAGTTCCCCGCTCCATCTTCTCGGAACGTTCCTCGGTTGCAATAATCTGTCAATGCTGTGAGTACATCCAACAGCCCCCCTGCTCGCTGCATTGTCAAGATTATTCCCGGACTTACGTATCACACAAAACCCATCCCAAAAGCTCCAGAAATCAATGTCAATGTCCAA